CAGTTTTAAAATTATTTTTTAATTGAAAATTTTATTATAGTATGTAAAATCTGAAAATATAAAGTTGTTAAAATGCATTAAAGAGTAAAAGATGTTAAAATTAAAACAAAAATATTATTATTAAGCATTAAATATCCAAATGAATTTTATTAATCTTTTAATATAAAACTGTGTTATATTTTTTAATCAAAAATCTATTATTATACAAAAATCAATGAGACTAAACATATGTTTGATTCTATTGGATGATCGGCCACTCAACATCACATGAGTTTCAGCATCAGCTGTGACAATAAATATATACCCTATATCATTAATAAATTATTTTATTTAAAATATAATTTAATTTTTCAGGTAATTTGCCTGAAATATGGTTTAAAAAATATATTAGATTTTTATATTTCGGCATACTTTTGAGTATAACTAATCAAAACAAACTTTGAATTAAATGTAGAATAGAATGATTCCTAACCCATAGTATGAAAATTTTCTCATAATATTTAATGATATTCAAACCATAATATTGTTTAGTTACAAATGATAAATATATTTATTGTTTATTAATTTTGAGATAACAATTATATAAAGGTTCATTTATACAAAGGTATGATATCTATAAACTTTTATATAATAGAAAAAGGAATTCTACAGTATCGGACAACAAGAAACATCTACTTTTTATATATAAATATAAAAATGCCTATAACTTACAAATAAATAAATTTTAAAAAATCTGTCTTACAGATTTGTTGCTTTTAGTCTAAGCTACAATTCTGTTAAAATAGATTTTTATTTTTATTATAAATTTAAAAAGTTATTAAAGCCTAAAGTTACTATGTAATCAAAAATTTGGTATTTAATATATAAAAAATTGTTTTTATAGATTTTTAACCAATCAGAATCTTGTTACACAAAAATAGCCAATCAGATTTGAGTATAAATCTCAAAATTTGGCGCTTTTTAAAAAAAATTGAATGTTTTTTGCTGTCCAGTACTGTAGCTCAATTTATTTAGCTTATTTATAAATATCTACCAGTTTTTGAAATTGTGGTGTTTTAAGTGTATTTTGGCACCAACTAGTAAACTTTCCAATATCCTCTTTTTCTTGGTTAATTTGATTATAAAGATTTGAGATTTCGTGTTTATGCTTCTCCTTAATTTTGATAAATACTATTTATTAGCTTAAATATGATTAAACCAAAAAAAAATAAAAAAGCAAATAAAAAGAAAAAAATAAATAACATACAGCAAATGCAAACAAATTATCAACACTATCAATAAACTGTCCACAAGTGCGAAAAGATCTGGAGAGTTCAGCTTGTCCAACCTAAACATAATATAAATATCAGGGGCAACCAAAACTATTATGTAACCTGTCTATGCAGTTACTATAATTAGATAAATAAGATATTTATTCTAATTAGATATATTTGATATAAATATTACAATTACTCTATAAAAAATTCATTTAGTAGAAATGATGCTTTCATTATGCACATACAAATCAGAGTATTATCCTGTGATATTCAGTAAATATATTAAGCTGGTAGAGACTCACCAATCGTTTGATATCTGAAGACCACAAAACATTTTCCTGTATTTTGAATAATATTATCTAATGCATCTTTTATAAATGTTCCTAATCTAACAATGTTAAGAGTATTTTTTTTGATATTATTATTTTTTCCTTCACCGATGATTTCACTAAATATTATTTCAAATATAGACTTATTATTATTTATAAAATTGCTAATCATGTCAGGTTGTTTGGTACGTGATGGATCTATATTTGCAAGTTTGCGAGCTTTGGAGCTTATAGATGCAGTATTCAGCCATAATGTAGGATGAAACATGGAGTCATGAAAAAAAGACACAAAATCAGGCTAATGATATTAGCTATTAATGTTCCTTCACTAAAGAGATCATCCAATAACTTAATAGGGATGTACTTTGTCCTAAAAGTAAAATAAAAAGCATTAGAAAGGTTAAAAGGATATGAAGAAGCAAAAAAATACAAATATAAATTTACAATTGCAAAAATATGAATTGCAATAAATCATATGCTTTTTGGTCAGTGGAACTAGAAAAAGTTCTTGTAAATGAATTTCGTATCAACTTTTCTACTTCTGCCAGGCCTAATTTCTTATCATTTGCAATCTATAATTGTAAACACAGTTAAAATTTAAATACAGTGTTTTAAACAAATCCGTATTAATACAATACCTCAATGTACTCCTGAAATACAGATTTTACACTTTGTGTGATCTTCATTTTTACTGTATATATCTTACGCATATTTTTTCGCAAATCTGTCAGAGTATTTCTTAAAAATATTTTAACCTGTAAATCTGAAAATTTATCTTCCTGTAACAATAAAATATTAGATAAATACCTAAAATTTTTACAAATATTTATTAGTTCTGATATCCTATATATGGATAAAATTCTTAAACTTACAAAATTTCATGATAATTTTCCACGATTGACAACCCTGATATTTTTCCAATATTTAAAGCTTCAGTTTGATACGTTTTTAATAACGAGGTGATATTTTTTCCACCAAATAGATACTGCAAAGATAAAAGACATAAACTATTAATATGCTTAATCAATAGAAAAATAAAAGAATAAAAAGAAAAAACTTACAATAAGTTTGCTAGGATTATGTTCAAGTATGTATGAATCGCTAAACAGAAGTCATTCTTGTATAAAATTGTCATCAACATACTGATCAAATTCAACATTTTTCATGTTTGGTTCACCATTATTGTTGTTATCATTCAAGTGCACCTAGTTACAAGACCAAAAGTTTATCTAACATGCCTAACAGTGTAGAACAAATGAGCTTGGTGCTGAGAAAAGGAGCCAAATTAGCAAAAAAAATAGTTTTGCAAAAAATTGATTTGTTTCTGGGCTAATTTTGAATTAGGCTCAAAAAAAGATTTTTGAAAAGTTGTCAATTTGGTTTCTTTTCTCAGCACCTAGCCCAAATATATATATATATATACCGGAAGTAAGCCTTCGTATTGATCAGAATCATAAGTAGTAGTTGGTGACACTTTTGAATAAGACAGTGGCGGAGTCACGAACACGTCTAATTGGCATTTTACATATTGCTGACAGTATGCAAATGTGTCTTTCAAAACTTCAGCAGACGTCATAATCTAACAGTTAAAACAAAACTGATCAGTAACACAATGCTTTCTCTCAGGCACCAGACAAATATAAAAATAAATGAACTTACAGAACTAGTATGTACTTCGTCTTCGGCAAGTTTCCATTTTTTTTCGTTAAGAGTAAAACTATCGGCCATTTTTCTTTTAATAATCGCGTGATGCAACTTTTTATCAACTATGGATCCGGGAAGTTTTCTTATTGTTGCAAGGTTGTTACGCCAGAGACGCGTCGACTTCTTAAGATCTAAGGTGTCTATTTTCTCAAAAAAATGTTTGTGAGACCAAACTCTCAGTGGGTATACCTTAAAGTAAGGAGAAACGTCAGAATTAGCAGGAGCACGAAAGTTACGAGCATCCATTCTCTGGTGATATAGTCTGATTGGTTAATTTTTTATATAGTTCAATCTTAATTTTGATGAATATTAGGTTGCGACCCAGGCCTTATTTATAAGTTACGCATTAAACTCAGTTTTAAGTTACGGCATTACACTTAGTTAAGTTACGGCATTACACTAAAATGATAAGATTTCACAAAATTTATCCCAAAAATTTTTAGATTTTATACCCACTTTTATACATACTACATGTAAAAAATTTAAAACTTTTACATACCAGATTAAACTATACAAAAAAATTTTTGTTTTTTATAACCCGACCAGGTAAATGTAGAATTTAAATTTTATAAATCGTAATAACTACTAGGATCATTGTTTGTTAAGGCCGACAAATTTACATGCCTCGGCAACACCCTTATATGATGGGTGAGAATGGGTGGGAACGATAGCGAAGAGAAAGATAATTTCCTCCAACAACAACTCAGGTCTTAAATACCCTTTACTAACAGGAAAGTTACCGATTCCCTGATTTCACGCCCAAACTATATGAACTTACTCCTGAACTCCTTTATCATCCCTCAATTACGTATTAATACCGATACTGTCTTCATAATCATATGCGATTACAAAATAATTCAAAGAACCTGGTCAAACAAGAAATTATCAGGACAATAGTCCAGGTCCCACAAACAGTTAACCTGAAATCCAGGCACGTGAAGATCATGAAGCCATTTGATCTCGCAATATGATCGCCGTTGACAGGCACCTCAAACTAAAA